AGAGGTCAGAGGTCAGCATCTCCTGAAGGACACTGGTCAGCAAAGTGCAGGCAGAAGGGGTTGGGGTATGTATAAGCATAATGAGAGTTTGGATTTTTTTTTTTTAAGAAATATGTAAGAGAAAAATCATTGACCAAAAGAAGATCATGTTATAATAACCCTTGTGCTGTGCTGAAAATCTCAGGAACCTAATTTGGTGTTCCTGGTCAGAAATGACTGGCCTTTAAATATTGCTTGTAAATCTCTCATTATGCTATATCTTTTTCTCAACTTATTTATTCAATTAGCACAGGTTTTGTATTTCTTTTTCTTAGCAATTTGTGGAGGCCGGTCATTTTTGACTGGGATCTCTACAAGTGTAACAATGTAGGTATCCCAAAACAGTATAAAAATATCATTTTTTCGGGGGAGGAGTTGATATTCCCTGCGTGAACAAAGTCAGTAAGTTTCAGTCCAATGCGATAAACTAGCGTTTTCAGGAAAAAAAAAAAAAAGTCCTCTCCGGGTCAAATTGAACACAACATGAAGGATAAGTAATCTCTTCAAATGTCTTCCATTTTTGTGTTTTTCTTGAGAAGGCATTTCAGTTTCTCAGTAGAAGTGATAGAAAGGCATGGACTCTGGGAAAGGCCAGAATATTTAGCCTGAGAAATGATGTTTTCGGAGCCAATATTTGGTTCTCAGCACTTTTCATTTATTTAATACGCCTGCAGGAACCAACAAACCATGTACTTACAACATCAGCTGAATTTGAGACATGCATTCTTTAAATTCATGTTTATTTAGATTTGGCTGAAAGTCTTTTTCTGAATATACACAGAGGTTAATTTTTCTCTCCTAGTGCTAAGATGATGGAAAAAACAAGTGTCATGAAGTGTCATGCTTTAATTCGAGTTCATCCCTCCATTCTTAGTGTCTTCCTCGGTAATGTCTTAAACAACTGCCTAATTTCTGTCTCATGGGTTGGTTTTCCCCCCTTCTCCGTTCTGGTCTCGGTTCGAAACAGCAGCACCAGCTGGTCTACGGTTTTTACTGAACCTATACTGTATTCGGGGAAGTCGTGGCCTAATGGTTAGAGAGTCGGACTTGTAACCCATCTTCCTCACTACTAAACTGTGTCCCAGAATCACTTCCTCAATCGAATCCACACATTGCATGGATGTTCTGTTCTAATAGTTATCCATGATTAATACTGCCATAAATGTCTGTATAATATGATATATTGAAATTTGCAGTGGTATAGCTAAAGCTTCCATGCCCAAGGCTTCTTTCCACTGTTCTTTATGTCTCAATTCTGGAATATCTCACATAACGAGGTTAGTTTTCATTGCAAACCCATTACAGAATGAATTCAATAGTATCATACTGCCTGGAATCAACAGCATGGCAGATGATTTTCCCCTTGTGTCAACTGTTAAATTTAGACCTAAAATTAAATAATTCACATGAAATCAATATATAATTATTATTCACACAATTTAAGGATATTGGGTTGATCTATACCAGTGGTTCTCAACTAGTGAGTTTTGACGCCCCTACCAAGCCCCTACCAAGTATTGAGTACATGTACAGTAAATGAACATACTTTCCAGAAGGCCAACAATTCACTAAAACATTTTTTTTTTATTGGTCTTATGAAGTATTCTAATTTGTTGAGATAGTGAATTGGTGAGTTTTTGTTAAATGTGAGCCAAAATCATCACAATTAAAAGAACCAAAGACTTAAACTACTTCAGTCTGTGTGCATTGAATTTATTTAATACACGAGTTTCAAAATTTGAGTTGAATTACTGAAATAAATTAACATTTCCACGACATTCTAATTTATTGAGATGCACCTGTATATATGTCACTGTTTCCATGAAAAATTTAAGCAGCTGTTTTCAGTAAGAAAAATCCAAAACAGTATATTAGAATGATTTCTGAAGGATAATGTGACACTGAAAACTGGAGTAATGACTGTTGAAAATTCAGCTCTGCCATCATAGGAATAAATTACATTTTAAAAAATATTCACATAGAAAAGAGTTATTTTAAATTGGAATAATAGTATATAGGATTTTCTTTTTATAACATTAACAGCTTTTTTCTGCTGTTTTGAAGAACTTGATGTCCAAAGTAAAACCTGAATCTGCAAACAAACCAGTTGAGAACCACTTATCTGAACATTTGGGCTATTGGATGTGTAATTCGATCAATGAAGCTGTCAACCCTTTGTATATTTACTATAATATCCGATTCTGTGCATTATGCTTTAAATTCAGATTGTTTGACGGAACTGACATTTTACCCAAATGCTTTAAATCTAATGTTGCTTTCATTACGTCTGTATCGACTCAATTCTTCGCTGTGCCGATACGCGCTTGCAAGTCCACTCCATCCTTTACATTAAATAAGTCTTGTCAACACAAAGATTTTTTTTCTGTGATTTCATGCTCACAGATGCTCAATATTGCTGAAGCTGGAGTGGAATCCCTGGAGTCCCTTTCATGTTTGAAAGAGCAGCACACAAAAGGCACACTCATCCTACTAGGATTTTCCATCTCTCCTACAGTTTTTTTCCCGGTATGAAGATTTTGCTAAAATCAACTTCCTGTAGTTAAGTTTTACAATGCTTTTTATTTATTTTACGCCAGATTGTAGCGCAAAACTGAACGTGTTCACAAATATATGCACGTTTAACACACAGAGCGTGTCTTCCCTGAATTTGTCAAACCCATAGCTTACACCCCGTCCGTGAATCCCATTTCTTTCTTTCCCCCTAATCTCCTGTACATTTGGCTGGAGAGTTTGGTAAATCGGTTTCAGTTGGCTAATACAAACCATACTGATGTCTCTCGATGCTTCAGGCCTTTTCAAATAAGATTAGTGGACTTCACATATGGTTGTTGATCCTCCGGATTTAAAGAGCAGTTAAAATACTTCCCTTTAATGTGTCTCCATATCCGGCTTGATAAGAACGTAATACCCGAAGACATTAAATACATGCCTTGTATTTAATGTCTTTGGGGCTTACAAGCTTTAGTGAACAGCAAAACACATGAGCGTAGACAATAATGATACAAAAGCCTCAACAGCATGGAAAAGGGCCACAGAATCATTCCCCCTCCCTTTTTTCATTCACAGAAGGACGAATAAGCAAATTGTTGCCTGGCTGTAGCCATGTCTTCATGTCTAATGGAATTTTGTACCAAAGTCCGTTTAAGGCACGTCAGCTCACTTGGTGACCATCTTTGTAACACCCTCGGGCAGCTCTTTTTATGTAAGCAGGAGTCAGGTACAGCTCTTATCTATTTAGATGGGGACAAAATGAAATGTCCAAATAGTTTTCAAGATTATGTTTCAATGATATATTCCAAATCAGCAGTAAAATTTGACATACATTTTGTCTCTTCACTGAAAGTGAAGTGACGTGTGGCCAAGTATGGTGACCCATACTCAGAATTTGTGCTCTGCATTTAACCCATCCAAGTGCACAAACACACCGTGAACACACACACACACCCAGAGCAGTGGGCATCCATATTGCTGTGGCGCCCGGGGAGCAGTTGGGGGTTCGGTACCTTGCTCAGGGGTCTCACCTCAGTCGTGGTATTGAGGGTGGAAGAGATTGCTGGTTATTCACTTCCCCCACTTACAATTCCTGCCGGACCTGAGACTCAAACCCCGCAACCTTCAGGTTACAAGTCAGATTCTCTAACCATTAGGCCACGACTGCCTGAATAAGACAAGAAATTGGTCCAGCTTGTGCATTCTCTAAAGTTAAAATTAATGGCTGAATGGCTTCTTTAAGGAGACTTGACTTACATTTCTACAGCAACCATATTGACCATTGCAGTTTCTCTCATTTTTGATAGTGCTATGTGATATTAACTCCTGTTCTGACTGGCCAAAATTTTCTTAAGAATCTGTCATTTAAAGTAGAAATTAAATGTGCATATTTTTGGCACTGGTAATGCAAACTCTGGATTCAATGGCTATCGGAGGGCTCTTTCTTTTCAATGCCGACAGTTTATGAAACTAGACTCTTCTCATTTGCACTGTAAAACTCATTTTTAAATCATTATTTGCGCATGTAATTCACAAAGTACATATTACACTTCTAATGTGACTTTAAAAAGTGCTTTAAAATATAAACAATACAAAGTCCAATACAAAGAACATGGAAATCAATAGAAATTTAGCAACTAAGTCAAGTTTCAATGTTCAATGTCAGTGTTTCTCCACAAATTTAATCCCACTCTGTGCTTTGGCATGTAGGACATGAGCAGGAAAGAGCCCATCTCTTGTCTCATATTTGTGTTCTCACACTATTCCAAAGCAATTGACACTGTTTGTAAATGGTCAGAAAACCTTGCCTGAGTTGCTAGATACTTGGGTTACACTTTATTTCGATAGTCCACTTTAGACATTCTATTAACTATAAGTAACTAACTACATGTCAAGTCAAGTCAAGTCAAGTCAAGTTTATTTGTACAGCGCTTTTCACGATACAAATCATTGCAAAGCAACTTTACAGCAAATTAAGTCTCTACAATATTTAGTGGTAGCTTATCAGTGGTGACTGTCAGTTAATGTACATATGGCAGAATTGTACAGAAAAATCAATTTAAGACGTAATAAAACAGACGATGAACACTATTAACAGCAATTATTATATGATGCAATCAAACTTATAGCAAAATGTGGTGTTAGGGTAGGTTTAGGGTTAGTAGAATAAGTTGACCAAGAAAGTGTTAGAAGATATTAAGCAAACAGTCTACTAATACTCTACTAACTGCTAGTTGACATGTACCTGTAGTTGCAAAGTTACTTACTGTTAATAGAATGTCTAAAGTGGACTATCGAAATAAAGTATTACCGATACTTGTGTAGCCAACTTGTGCCCATGATCCATGGTCACGGAAAGTAGGACAATCTGTTAGCCTTTATTATTTATTTATTTGTTTGGAAATATTGGTTTCTTAGTTTTTCCTCTTTTTAATTTCCCACAGTGAGGGTCAACTTTCAAGAAGCGGTTTCTTGTCAAGAGCAACCATGAAACAAGCAGGCAGAAACACAACGCAGGCATGAGACATTTCAGGCGAGAGAGCCACATCTGAGCCGAAAAGCTGGGAGGCTGATGACAAGAGAGCTGGTGTTGACAAGGAGCACTTCCTGGCCACAGACGATCAATTCCCCTATCAGAGGCGTTCTTCAGACAGAATAGGTTTGGAATGGTAAGACCGATATTCAGTAAATTACAATTACAGTAAATTACATTACATTACAAGACAAAAATACAGTACATACTCATGCAAACACTAAAATGGCAGATACAAAAATAAACACTTAAAACAAAGTGGCAATTTTGCACTTAAAAGTCTGGCATATTGATCTGGGTACAGAACGCAAACCCACAGATTTAGACATATCACCATATGAACATTCAAATTGAGAGTGAAGGGAAAGAGAGACTGGATACAGTCTAAAAGAATGAACAGACAATGATGGACAGATGGACAAAACATATGGAACCATACTTCCCCTCCTTTAGTCTCTAACACACGCACACCCAACCATCCACATCACACAACATCCACACATGGTTGTATTTTCACATGAGCATTGCCAAAAGAGCTGGTTCCTTCGGAAGGAAGTAAACCATCTTCTTTTGCTCGAGGCATGACTTTGATAGTTCCGAAATCCAACCACTTATGTTGTCTTGATATCTTTCAGCAAATACCAATTCACTCATCTGTTTCTCTACATGTGGCTGTGGTGGTCTGGTTTAGAAAACTGGCTCTTCGGATTTGAATGTGTGCCCCCGACGTTTCACCACATTCATTGAACTGGGCAAATTAAAATTGTGTAAATTGCATGCTGATATGCACAGAAAAGGATCTCTGGTTACGCACATGCATAAATTTGTTCTTACCTTTGTTGAAATGTTAATGAATCCACATTGGAGAGTGTATGCCTGCAGATAGTAATTAGCATAATACACACCCAAACCATCTCCATATGAAGAGTTTCTGCCGAACCTCATTCGTACAGGTGCAAATGTTTTTATTCTTGTTTTTTTATGCAAAACATTTTCAAATAATTATAAAATGTTGTGCATGTGTCAATATATATTTTAATAATAAATAGATTTATTTCTATAGATATTTATGTTCTATAAACATTTTATAAACACTTTCTTAAATTGAGTGTTTATTATGGTTTTAATTTTATTTTATAGTTAGAAAAAATCTTAAAGCTTCAACTTATTGATGAATCATGAATTGCACAAATATGTATGCGTGAATAGTAAATGAAAAGTGTGAAATGTTATATATACATCAAAAATTTCACACTTAAGACCCTGCGGCCTCATATGAGGACATTATATTTTTGTGAATTTCTCTGAGACTGCACATGCCACAGTTTTAAGTCTGGATGTCCTGTACAGAGCACATTCAGGGCATTTCAGAGATACTAAATATTTGGATGTTTCACCATGACACACAGTTTAAAAATTAGTCAGATTTAAAATTACACTTGTTTTTTCATTACATGTTGCCCCAAAAACACATTAATATGCAAATTAGATTTAGTTTATAGATACATTGTATATAATGAGAAAACCCGTTTATGGCCATTTTACACACATTTTGCAGAAAGAAAAATAGTATATTGAATCATTCTGTTATAACATAGTTGAGAATCATCTTTATACAAAGTTTGATAAAAAACAAATCTTGAAAACTAAAATGTATTGGTGATTTAAAAAATCAATTGTTTTTGCCTATTCATGTTCATTCATGTCTTTTTATTTTTTTAAAGAAATTGAGTCCCGATGTCCTCTACCGAGGACATAGCATAACTTATGAATGAAATATCTTTTTTTAATATATATATTTTTTACATTATTTTTAATGCTCTAAACAATGTAAAGACATGGAAAAAAATAACTTTTTTTATTTATGTTTTTTTTATGGTTTTTATTTTATATTCAGAAATATTTTCAGCAAATAAATATGTGTTTATGCATGGAATAGTGAATGACACCCACTGTTGCTAATTACCCTTCTGGACCTCTTCAAACCTCTCACAAACTGTCTCTTCCTGTCCTCCTTAGAGCAATTTCCCAGCTAGCCTCTGAAGTCCATGGCCTCTTGTCGTCTGTGCTCAATGTTATCTAATCTCAAGCAGTAGGGCTTCAAAATCCTTCAGAATGGGCCAACTTCAGATTACAGTCTGCCCTGTCTGTTGTCTAGATTTTCTTCCAAACTTCCACTTGGAGCCGTAAGTACCATTAGCCTCTCCACTGTCACCCCTCAATAAGACAGATAAGACTCACTGGGAGGATGACAGCAATGGATGCACAAGGATGGGCTCCGCATGTGTCAGTTTCCACCCTTATCCTTCCTGGGACATACTGGCTCTTGCTTGGCTATTTTTACCCTCTCTCCTCCAGTAACAGCCTAAACTAAGGGGTTGCTGTCGGTTTATTGGCATCCACACAAGGGTAACCACACCAATGGCCTCCTTCAAGGCGCGACTGAGCTTAATGCAGAGGCTGTCACTGAGTCCTATCTAAAGAGCTTTTAACAGTTCATAAAAAAGAAAGAAGTCTGTTTAGAAAACAAAGTTATTTTCCAGTAGCCATAGTTATCTCCATGTCTATAGTGTGAAAGCAGGGATTAATTTTAATATATATTGAATTTTTTTCTCAATATGATACTGTTCACACTTGTTCAGCCTTTGTGTTTTTGGGGTCTGAATTACCTAAAAGGCTATTCTCAAAATACTTACTTAACATAATTAAGTGTTTGGTTGACAATTCATGACTTTTCCAAATCTTCTGAGAACTGATTTTAAACAAATATTATATTGGAAAAATCACAGTCGCCATAAAAAAAGTGTTCGTTACTTCTGTTTGGGGTTCCCTGTATAAAAACATGATTAAATACAATTCATTTAAACATGCTTCTGTTTACTGTATTGTAGATTTACCGTATGTTGCTGGCATCAAACTGAAGCAACAATAAAATACCAGATAAAAGGAGCACAGTCTATTTTGTGAAGTTGATATTGTCCATCCTAAATGTATATTTTATTCTGTATCTGTGAATTCACAGTGAAAGGAAACGCAAGTGCCGAACAGCCACGGGATATGGGCAGGACCAGTCAATCATCATCAAAAGTGAGGGGCGGTACTAGGAATGTGGGGAACTTCCACACTTCCTCACAAATGAATTTAAAGTGAGTTCTTAAATGACATCAAACCAAACTGCAGTTTGGATTCATGTAAAATCTCTCTCATTCTCTCATGCTGTAATTGAGATCATGACAGCATTAAAGTTCCTAAAGTGACCCAAATGTTCATCAGCTCAATGCTTGAGAGGTTGCGGATTGGAAATGAGTTTGAACGTTCTTATGTGATTTTCTACACAAGGAAAAAGCAAAGCATGATGAATTTTTGAGGTTGGCTATCCACATTTTCATTTCATTTCATTTGGAGCGCCACAAACCCAAATATGGCACATTAGGAACGCACTGAACAAGACAAATATCCTGGTAACGAAACATCTGTAAAATTTTCAACAACCAATGAATCATACCTATAGTGCATCACGTTATTGGCTCATCTGCTGGGAATTTCCTACCTTCCAAGGAAATGGCACAGTGATTTAAATGAATGGAAAAGTATTCATCTGTACCTTCCTCTCTCTCTCTCTCTCTCTCTCTCTTTACCAGCATGCCTTTTATTTGTGAAGAAGCCAAAAAGTGTAGTTCACTTGCCAAGAGGAAGTTTAGGGCTGATTGCAACCATGATTAAAGTGTTTGTTTCAGACTGTGCTGAATAAATCCATTTTGCATGGTTTGCTAGTAAATAAATAAATAAAGATCAGTTCACAGGTTCCAAATTGAATAAAAAAATGTGGTAAATGTAAATATAAAGGGTGCCTGGAATCCATGTGTTTTTTTGTTTTGTAGGCTGTCTTAATTGCTCATTACTGCAGGATTGTTATTCGAGGCATAATTAAGACCTGCTTAATAATGCAGTCAATTGATTGATTAACTCATTCATGTTCTGTCAATAGAGCCAGCACACTGGTGTTTGAGAGAAAGAGAGAGAACAAGAGAAGGTCAAATAGCCTTTAACCAGCTGTGTCCCATCAATGTCCATCAGTCAGTCCAGTCTTGTGAAATGTACTTTTCTCTGGATTATACACTCGTTCTTCTCAGTTTTCAGTGATGAAACATTGAACGTCCAAACTAAATTCAGTTTCAAATATTGTGTATGTTTTTTAAAGAAATATTTCATCCAGAAATGAAAATTATGTCATTATTCACTTCCAAATGTAACTCAAATGAGTTTCTATCTTTGGTGTAACCCAAAAGGTGAATGTTTGAAGAATATTCCTTTCTAGTAATGAATGTAAATGAGACTGTTATTATGATCAAAAAAGTACTATAAAAGTGGTTCACTATATTTTCAGGTGTTTTTGAAACAGTCAGTTTTGGGATTGACTGAAATTTAAGTTGTTAGACCTCCTTGCTGTAAGTTTCTTTTGTGAACACATTATTCTTCTAAGTCAGATTTGTCTTCCAAATCAGAATTGTTTTACGTGATCCATTTGATAAAACTGATCTGAATAATTCAAACTCATTACCTGATTCATGTAAGTAAGTAAATTTCAGTGTGTTCGTCACATCGCTATCTTATGGTATCCGAAGACTACCATAGTCTGGTACCGCACTAGTCTGCTTTTATGATAATTTGATGCTTTTGCATCCTTTTTGAGGCATGAAAGCTCTAGCCCCCATTCATTGTAATTGCATGGAGAGCAACCATTATTCAAAATGTATCTGTTTGTATCACACATGCACAAAAAAAGAGAGAAAATAATATGGGTTTGGAATGACATGAGGTTAAATGAGCAAATGATGGCAGCATTTTCACTCTTGAGTGAACTATTTCTTTAACTGCTCAGGGGGGTAAATCTAAGAGATTTGTTTTTATGTGGAAGGGCTACACAGTGGGACTCTGAGAGTATCAATCAAGGCTGTCACTGACTCCTGCAGCCTCTCGCTTCAGTTACCACAGACACATCTGCACAAAATGCAGCGTGAAATTGTATGGCTCCTACCCCACAAGGGCCATCTGCCTCCCTATAGTCCTGATCCACCTCTAGCCCCTTGTCCTGAGCCATGAGCTCCGGTCACACCGTTGCTAGAGGTGTCCTACTTGTTGCATTTGTCCTTTCCAACCTCTGAACGTGCCTTCTAGAAAGCTCATACTATTACCTATATCTGTCATTTGTAACTTCAAAACAAATATATGTAGATTGGCATTGTTGACTTCCAAATACCTAGAGGATAATGTTATTGCTCTTTTATTTATTATGAAGCTAAATGGACTTCTCAATTTTTATGTATCCACACTGTTTTAGATATTTTCCTTAAAATTTCGCAGGAGGAATATTACACACATTTGGAAATCATTGGCATACTTCAATGAAACTTGCATTGGTTAAATTGTTTTGTCAGAGAACAATTGATTAGATATATTTGAGGTCATATTAAAATCTCTGAGATATGATTGCAAAATCTGAGTGCAATCTGAAATGTTGTTGCGTTCTCTTTTAGATGGTGTTTACAACACTGTTTTCAACAAAAAACTGAAAACTTTTTTCCGTGTTTTGGCCATTCATTTATACAACAGTTTTTTGGGGTCCTGAAAATGCTAACTTTTGAAAATGGATTTCAAAGTTCAAGTTTTTAAAAACAATACCATTATCATCTTCAAATTTCTTTTTATGAAAACGATGACATCGTGCACTTCTTTACAGAGAGACATCGCCAACTACTGACCTGGCATGCATAATACAGCAGTTTTTGCAGTTTTCACAGATCAATGTGAATGGGGATAATTTTGACAATGTTGTCATCTGTATGCAAAACTTTTCAAAAACACAAAGGAAATCCAATTCCGTTTTGTAGAACATGGTTATTGTGTAAACGTACCAGTAGTGCAGACACATGTAAGATTACTGGGGTCTTTTACTTAATTCTGAGAAACAGACGGTTCCATTTGATGTGTATATGTATATATGTACTTTTTTGTACTTTTTTTTTTTTTTTTGCTTATGACTTAAAACGTTTAATTTTTGGATGTACTTTCTACTTTTTCTTTGTACTTTCCTATTTCAACATTCTCTGAGTTGTATAGATAATGATATAACGATAACCTCCAGAACTCACATCAAAGAAGGTAGTCTAATTACCCCATCTCAGCAAAGCTTAAGAACACAAAATGGACCTGATTACTTTGCCGTGCAAGTCTCCAAAGTCATTGAATTGCATTATGCCGCCTGTTAATTTACAAATGCTGCACCCAAACTGCAATCACAGTCTGTGAGAATATAGCCATACCTTGGGGCCATTTTGAAAAAGATCAATACACCTGACATTAGATTAGCTTGGAAACACATAAGATGGTCGAATGGATAGCAGCTGACTGTGCAGTTTTAAAGCTCCTGATAGACTGAAGTAATGAAACAATGGACTGAAATCACAGTATCATCTTTAAGATGCTCACCAGTGTGACCTGGACTCACTAGCAGTCAGTTAGAGGTAATCAGACTTTTTGGATTCAAATTCCAATCAAACTACCTTTTTATGTAACTGACTTAGAGCTTTATGCAACCGGCCACTGCTCTCGAACTTCTGGCCAGAGATGCTGTATACTCAATACATGAGATATAAAATCAGCTCACTTTCTTGCACTTGCAAAAAATACACAGATCAACGAGAGAGTGCAAGAAAGAGAGAGAGGTGAAAGAGAGTTTGTACGAAACAATCTTCTTTTCATGTCAAATCTGATTGTAACATTCTTGACATTTCACACCACCTACATTCCCCATGGGACTCAGGAAAGGTAATCTAGTGTAGCTGAAGGCAGATTGAGAGACAGGCTAGCCTGCTACACATGGCATTCCCCATGGCTACGTGGATATCAGATTCCCTCACATATACTTCCAGAATGTTATGAGGATTTTCACTCAGTTTCCTTAATGGGCTTAGATGTTTTTATTCATAATTTCTTAAATTGTTTGAATTTGAGCAGGAAAGGGGGGTTCTCCAAGGGGCTCGCTCTGATTCTCAGTTAGCGAGAGAATGGGTTATTTTGACTGCCAGAGCCGGAGGCAAACACATAGGACACATTTTGATGTTTTGAACTTTGAAAAGACCTCCACCTTCCTCTTCTACGCTGTAAGTAATGATTAACAGTTCTGCTGTAATATTATGCCTTCCTAAGTGTTTATGTTGCATTAAAACTCTAAAGGTTGTTAGATTGTTAGCGATGATTAGCTAGAAATGCTATCGTGGAAACAAAAGACATAGTTCTTGTAAAAGTTCATTGTAAAAGTTCTTGATTTAACATCTGAAGTTTGTTATATCTGCATATTTTTTGTAGATATATGTTAACAGTGGAAAAGTAAAGCCCTTCGGGTTTCTTTGAAGATTTTATGAACCTTAGAACCAAAAAAGCTCTTTTATGGCATCAAATTTTATTTTATTTTAAGGGACTGTTTTCCTGTGTGATTTTATCTAGTAGTATGTGGAAAATGTTGAATGAACAAGCTTTATTATTTAATTTTTCTCAGGATTGCATTTGACTGTCATTCTCATGCCACTTTTATAATTATAGTTCATGCTATGCTTATCTGCTTAAAAACTTGTAAAATTAGATTTTTCAGGCAATACTCTGTTAGTCAGTGTGTCCTTGTATCTTACTTCTTTAACGCTATAATTATTCAGGTAGGGTAAGGATAGTCAAATCTAGCCTAAACCATGAAGTACTCACCCGCTCGCAGGTTGCAATCCTTCAGGAATGACGTAGAAGACTCCCTTGTGGTTGTTCTCGTTTTATGCTCAGTTTGTAGTTATAAGTAAAGTCTCACAGGAGGCAATCATAACAATAAAATCTCTTATTTTATAAGTTACAATACAAACTAGTTAATGCAAAAATAAAACAAAATTAGCTAAGCCACGTGTTCTATAATCAAACTCTAAACAGCAATATTGGAGATGCTGTTAAGCGCCCCTCGCTAGGGTATCAGGTGTCCTTCATGCTTAATGCAGGCAGCATCTGAAAAGTGTTTACTCCTCAGACATGTTATACTACTTTTTGGGTAATTCCAATTACATATCAATGTCTGTGACTCATGACGGATGTCCTTCGTCTGTCGCTTACTTTGCTGTCTACGTCTAGCACTCTTCCTCTTCTTCATCGTAGTCTTCGTCTGGCTCACCTCCGCTTGATGTTGAAACATGCTCTCTTCACCCGTGTACCCTCCTATTATTACATAGCATCAAACTCATAAGCCTAATTTCACAACTGTTGCTTATTTTATCCTAACAAAGCAAATGTTGCAAGTGCAAGCATCTTTATATCAAGGCATATGTGGTATTAACCTAAAAACTAGCAAATAAAATATTGAAACAGGTAAATAGCAATATCAATATCCATATACAAAACAGCTCACAGTCCAAGTGCATCTCATTCCTTTCAAATGAGGGGGGGACGGCATAAACACAGCAGGCATAAACAAAGAAAGATGAAATGATCCTGCTGAATGTCACTGGATAAATTCACATCTAAACGAAAAGTTCTACAATGAAAGATGAAGTGAAATGAAGCAGGGCATCGTGGCCTTCATCACATAATGGCATCTTCTCCCCCTTTCTTTCCTCCAGTTTTCCAGTGGCTGCACTGAACAAATGTGTGCTGCCTTTGGTAAGCACATCGTAAAAATGCAGAGGAATGCCAGTGGAAGAGTTTGGGTTTCCCCAATTTCTATGACTTGAAAACACCAAACCATAAAAATATCCAAGTACCTCCGGTGCTTTGAAAAGCAATACGAGAACTTCAGTTTAAATAGCCTGGCGTGCCTTAAGCTGTAGTAAACAAACAATAACAAAATTGTAATTGCAACCAAGCCAGAACATGGCATGAAATATGTTTGATGTATGTGCAGTCACTTTAAACCCAGAATTGGGTATTGGCATGCTAAAAGCAACAGTTTGTGGCCCAGAGAAGCAGAAATAATTTCCTATAAAACAAACTATTCAGCAGTGGCATGTAATTGACAAAACTAGATGTTTCTGTTGCAGTACAATACACACTCAAACCAGCCTGATCAAACAATTACGGTTGCATTTACAGTCTTATGCAAACAACTAGTGTCTTAAGGGATTAGTTCCATCAGAAAATAAAATTTAATTTACTCACCCTCATGTTGTTCCAAATTCGTGATTTTCCTTCTGTGAAAAAATTTGAATCATTTACTGATCAAATGGGGACTGGAGCTTTGAATTAGTGTGTTGAACTTGAGAACCGCATGGTTTTGTGAACTGAATGGACTGGTTCATCACAAAATACTCAGTTATTTTGTGAACCAGCTAAATAGAGTTAAGTTGGATGTCAATATTCAGACCTGATAGATTTCAATTGACAGACTTCAATGTCGCCCTCTTCCTCACTCAAAATTACCAGACAGATTTATAAAATTGTGTGCAAGTTCTTGTCTACAGTACTTTTATAACACTTTTATGGTGCATTTTGGAATCCCACATTTGGCTATATTTCTATATTCACTTCCATAATATTGAAAAGAGTGGCCATTATACGTTTAAAAGAATCATCACCTTTTGTGTTCCTCAGAAGAAATATAAGTAGATGGTTTCTGTTTTGGTCTATTAGCACTGTTCATTTTGTTTTAGAACAAATTAGTGTTATTCTATAAAAGTGTTGACAGATACATTTATCATTAATATAAGCAGACAGCCTCAAAACCATTAGAGAATTTTCCAGATGATAAACAATGGATGATTTGGGTCATGTGCATGTTTGTGTGTGTGTGTGTGTGTGTGGATGCAATTAAGCACATTTCTGTGAATGCGCTACCCTATATAGCGCATTAATGTGAATTGTGCTTGTTTTCAGTGGCCACACACAAGCATATACACTGCTAAGGGAATAGGAGAGCCTATTAAAATGAATTCATAATGCGTATCCTTAGGAAACTCTCAGCTATGATTAGCTGACTGAGTGTTTTGTGAAACTCACACTGTGGCCATGCCCTGAGGTGAGCTATCATTTAGAAGAGTTAATGAAGCTTTTCATACCTAATTAGCCTTCGGCAAGATGGGAATCATACAAGTAGAAAGTTTATTAATGCATGAAGCTGAAGGATTAAAGAAACTAAAAAGCAGACCGGTTGACGTAAATGGGCCTGTATTGAGTTTAGAGCAATGTTTGAACTGATTCGCTGTTCAATATTGTTTATTTACTGTATATTTATCTGGCTTTCACTAGGGTTCCTTTGAATGTTTTAAATGTATTGGATTATATTTAAGCGGAAGCGCAAGTATACTTGTCCAACAGATTGAGACATTCTACTTCCTGTTACTTCCTGTCACATTTTTCTGTTCCCTGTTGGTACTTTTAACTCGATATTTGTGTGATACTTGCGCCTCCTGGTCTATATATTATGATACCTATATGTGACCCATTTTCCACCAGGCAAAACCGTAAGATCGCTTAGGATCATTTAGAGTAAGGGATTTCGAAAAACCTCTAAAATTACATCTCCAGTGTCTAACTAAATGAATGTCGGGGTTCTGACACTTTGGTCTAGTTTATTCTTGGTTATGTGACAGAGCCCTGACACTTGTGTATCTTTTTGTTTTTGTGTGAGTGTGCGGTTCGGGTTCGCTCACGCCATGCGCTCTCTTGTCTATGTGTTGCATTTGTTGTGAATGCACGTTAAGTGTTCTTTTCCTCACCGTGCGCTCTTGTCTCGTGTCTTCGTTGGTCGTTGTGTTTCGAGTTCGTCGTCATTGTATTTGCCTTGCAGTTAAGTTTTCCCCAATAGGGTTGTTTTGCTTGTTTTTGTTTTTGAGTCCTTGACTCATCCTTACCTCTAAATATGACAATTAATGTTTTTGATATTTTACCCATGTTTGCTTTCACATGGACATAAATGACCTTGAGTGAGACTCGCACAGTAATCTGGAGAAGGTTCCAGACTCCTAAAGGCCTCCGGAGAAACTCCCACCCAATGCAAAGCCACCTGCCTGGCCTTCAGTGAGCCAGAGTGCCAGCAGAAGTCAGATAAGGTTGTCTCACTCTTTCTCTCTCCTCATGCCAGATTTCCAGCAGCAATGAGGCTTATCGGAAAGATAAAGGCAGCAGGAAACCGTGGCCTCAGGATGGAGAGTGTGGATGGAGTACATCATTTGTTCAGAGAGAACGAGAGGTAGAAATCAAGCTATTTCCTTCAGAGTTGACACCATAGAGCTAGATTTGGAGAGAAAAGGGATGGGAGTGAAACTTTACGTGAGTGGTTCTGTTTATGAGAGTCCTAAACATTGATTAATCACTCCTCATCTTTAAATAGAACTTCATATCCATTCCCTTGAAACTGCTTTCTGTCTAAAAGTGTCAGCCAACTTGCATAAAGTAATAATCTTGCTGTCTGGTAACATAAATCCATATGATTTACAGTGACGTTTCACCAAAAGTCATGGTGTGGTGCTCTTTTAGGTGTAAAGCAAGAAGTTTCATTCCCAAGAGATGTTTGATTGACATTTCTTCATATTAGTCCTTATCAAAAGGTCAACATCACCTTAACAAGCATTTCCTTCCTCCATTCAGAGAGAAAGACAAGTGCAGAAGAGGAGCACTGAGGAAAGAGAAAGGTGGAAGAATACACAAACGTGTGTGTGTGTGTATACACTAAAAAATGCTGGGTTGTTTCAACCCAACTTTGGGTCAAATATGGACTAACCCAGCTGTTGGGTTAAATTTTTTAATGAAATTTTTAACCCAAAAGTTGGGTTAGTCCATATTTGACCCAAAGTTGGGTTGAAACAACCCAGCATTTTTTAGAGTGTATATATATATTAATTGTTACTGCTATTATTATTACATACTTTATTAAATCTTTTTTTTTTTTGAAAACCTTTTTTTTTATTCTTTGGTGAATAGAAAGTTCAAAAGAATTATACATTTTCATTTAAAATTTTCATTAAACTTTTCAAGTTTTGCTATCCTTATGGGGATATACATCTTTTTATCCTATAAAATGGGCACAAACCACCAAAAATATTCCTGGTTTTAGCAGTCTAACACTGTGGTCTTAAGACTTCAAATCTAAACCACAATTTAATCTCTGCATCTCAATGGAATGATGTGATCTCGACCGACAGAGCTTTTCCTCCTTCTCTCCTCACCCCTTCACTTTACATTCATCTCTCTTGATTGGGTTAGAGCTCGAAGCCGGTGCTCCCCATGTAGCTTTTGCTCAGATTAGTATGAAAGCTATGCTTCAAAAAGATATAGATTGTATATGTAATGAGCTCTGAAGGCTTGACAATGTTTGTGTTTGTGCTATGAGGGCAATGTGGGTTTTAACAGGGCTCAGAACGGTGATAGAAAATGAGATGCTTGGTTTAAAAACACTCATGTGTGCGTGAGGAACGTCCTGCTCTCCCTTTTTGCACATTTTACAGAGGCAGTGTGGCCTGCTACCTATCAGCTTAATAAAGAAAATACAAGGACAATTTCCCTGTTCTTTGCCTCATTTGCACCAGGCTGTGCGCATCTGTGCAACCTCTGTCATATTCTTCTCTTAATATTGGCCATTTTTTCTCTCAAGGCCCATTAAAATCTGAAATTGGTTGTAAATAAAGTTCTAGATGTTGAAAAAGTTTTACTGATCGTTTGAGAAACTATGCCACAGCACTAAGTTATGTCATTACACACTAAATTTTTGTCATATTCCAAATGTACCATGATAAAAAAAGACTGGATTTTATTCATGCAAATCGGCTATCGTAACTGTCCAGTTGCTTCAGCTTGACACCGGTAACTCACAACAAATGACACAGAATACCATTACTCTTCTTTAAACCGATTTATTCTGCTGTCACATTCATCCATCTCCGATCTGTGACCAATGAGGGAGGATGTGGACAGACCCACCGTCTGTCTTGCTGTCTGTCTTTGACATTAGGCTGCTTTTATGAATGCCTGTTTGTGAGAGGGAAAAATCATAAATGGAATGATCTATAGGTAAAGGAACGGATGACCAGACAATGTCAAGGGCATGAGTCTCTTTTGAGTTATGCTCCCTCATGCGCATGTGACTAGGTGCTCATACACAATGGATCATTTCAGAACCTTATACTCTTTACACTAACGGTAAATTCTTGCCATTCCAGATACTCCCGAGGGGCTCGTTCGTCTGGGATGTTCGCTGATGGGATCCTCACACTTGCTGGACCGCTGCATCTTCTCCGGTTAGGAATTCTGTGCTGATTTTCATTCATTTTAGCCAGCTGATGGATATTGATATAGTCATCATTGCTCTTCTCTCTGTGTTGTCAACCTAAATGAGATGGAAAATGAGAACTAAAAGTGATCCGGAATTCTTAGGCATGATATATATATATATATATATATATATATATATACTGTACATAAATTACGATATCCTTCAGGGATTTTTTGGTAAGGACTTAAATCTGTCGAAGACTCTAGCCAAAAATTATATGATATTCAATTTCAAAGGACTAGTTACTCGTTTGTCATTTAGATGATCCTTTTATCTAAAGTAATTTATAATGCACTTTATATAGGTTCAGTTTCTTTTAAACATTCCCTTTGGTTTCCCAAAAAGATTGTTAATGGCCTATGAAATCAAAACTGAGGTTTTATTGATGAGAAATTTAGGCCATGAACTTGAATTTTGAGAACGTCTACATGTTAGTACTCTACTAAAAGTTGATTAACTTTTAGCAAATATACTTTTATACAACAAATTTCATTACATAAAATAGTTATTCATTCCTAATGAGTATTTTTGTCTAATTTTCCAGTTAAAATCCTTAAAACAAGACAAATTTACTTAAGAAGCAACACTCTATTGAGATATTAATACTTGTTTTCAGAGAGTGTGAGTGCATTTTCACTTGTTTTAAGTCTAAACAAGTTAAAAACAAATGAGACAAAAACACAGTGAAGACATAATCTGTATAAAAAAAAAAGAGAGAGAGAGAGAAGCAATCTCTAATATGCAGTGTTGCTTTTCAAGTAAATTTATCTTGCTTTAAGGATTGTTATATATTTCACTGAAAAACTCATTAGAAACGTATTGAGAAGTCATTTTTTACAATGTGTGTCATCTGAATGTTCGACTGCGGTCTATCATGAATATATTAGTCCTACTCATTTCAGCATTTTTGTATACTGTGTAGCAGGGATGTACGCAAAGCACTTGTCCCCGGTGCATAATTGGCAGTTGTGAATGCTTTCTACCTGTTTCTGAGCTAAATCGGGTCCTCAAAACTCATACTGTGACCCTTAAATGACACACAGGTCATTGCAATTTGTGTGAAATAGACCATTACATTTCGTGCACCCTTCGGTCAGTTGGTACATTGTCAAATAAATTAATTAGGACCAGACTGAATTTCCTGTAAGTAACTTTGATGTTATTTGACATGAAGCCGACATACGTGATCACACGCACACATACGTTTTCTCCTCACCATAGTACTTCAAAGTGTGTTGGGAGAGAGTTTAATAAAGACAGATTATGGGGAGTCAACACTCATGGCCATTTGCAGTGCTGATGGTTCACAGACTTCATATTTTAAACCAGCTCAGCTAATTTACAGAGCAGAGGACATCATTTCAACAGACGGCTCTCTTTGGTGTGGGGTGCACTCATTTGGGCTGAGAGTGTGTGTGCACATGCATTTAGGATGGGCTTGTCGAGCGAAGCCAAAGATGCATGCTCTCAAAGACAGCTTCTTAATCTTCAAAGTAATTCCAAAATGTTATTTTCTCCATTTCTTTCTAATGGAGGAAAATTGGGTGGAAATCAAGAAAAGAATCAGTTGACATGTCTTTCTAGTAGGTTCATTTGAGTGTAGTTCAACATGAGGATGTTAAAGATGTATTCAACCAAGACAGTATGTTCATGTATATTACCATACATAAATTTGGGTTTGGGATTAGTAAGATATTTCTTTATTTTATTGTTAGTCCTTTAATTCAGCAAGGATATGTTAAATTGATCAAGACTTTTTACAATGTTGCAAGAAAATCTGTTGCAAACAAATGCGGTTATTTTGAACTTTCTATTCAAGGAATTTTTTTATTTTATTAATATTATTATTTATTTATTATCAGATCAGAATATTAGAATGATTACTGGAGGATCATATGATACTGGAGATTGAAGTAATGGCTGCTAAAAAAAACAGCCATCACAGGAATAAATGTCATTTTAATGTATCACAATTTATCACAATATTACTCTTTTTACTGTACTTTTGATCAAATAAATATTATTTTTAGTTATACAAGAATCTAGAACATTTCTATTTGACTTTGTGTCTTGTTTTTTGAAGCTTATACTATTTTTAAGAATAAAACGACTTGCTGGTTGGTCGGATAGTTTTATTGGTTTTATTGTTGGTGTTTCTTTCCTTGTAGCTTGTCTTTATCCTGGCATTTTAAGAAAATATAAGCATGAACAGATTTCAAATAAGACTTCGATTATCATCCTATAATCCATTTCAGCATTCAGTTTCTTACGGTCTGTCCACAGATCAAGGCACTGAAGTCATGGTTTGTGCTTTGACAATGCAATTAGTTTGTGTCTTTGAGGGCCAGATGTAATCTGAATATTTAATTAAATCGGCCATCACTGCAAGAGAATGATAAGAAAATAAAACAGATCTCTGGACTTCCTGGGGTTCTTATAAAGGTAATGAACATTAATGATAACAGACTCATTAGAATGGACCACCTCAGGACCTTTAAGTACTGCTATGATCAACTGAATGTTGAAAAACTGTTTTGATGTATGACTTGGTGCAGATTGTACTTTATTATCACTTAGATTATCAGCAGAACGAAGGAGGCGCCAGACTAACCCACAATGGTCCATTTCATGGACAAAGACTTCATGTCTGCATCAACACACAAAAGTCATTAAAACGAGTCAGTGACTATTCGTCTTGTTTTAGTTTTCATACTCCACCCTCAAAACACTTCTGGAATTTATTTCTGTCTCCAAATTTAATGGCGAGAGAACACAAAGGATGGAAACAGAATCTCCAGTCAATTCCAAAAGTGGAATGTGGAACTCTTTCCTGTGTTTCGTGGAATCGTCAGGCTGGCATGAGCTGCACTGCTCTCAGCGGTTTATATCTGCACCATCGTAACTCTTGTCAGGAGCGTGACATGAAGCAGCTCACTGTTTCTTTTTGTGGTTAGTAAATAGGTGAAGTAGTTTTTCCTTATGAGTTTTAGTCTGGGGAAAAATATGAGATTTAAAGCTTGATATGCAAGTGCATTTCAGAGTCTATTTGCTTTAACATGGCTGCGTTGTATGACTATGTTAAACTATGCAATATGACTAATATGCATGTTTTATTTTATAAGTCCACACATATAGTATATTAAAGCAATGGAAAAGAATAAACATATGTGGCTTTCTGTCCCCAAGGTTTCAAATAAGAGACGCCACATAAGCTCAGAGTTCATCTCCGGAACAAACTATGGAAAGTAAAGTTGGAGTTGGCGGAAAGATGCCAGAACAAATGCGGAGGAAATGAGTGAGTTATGCATTTGTCTGTTTATATACCCTCAGCATTTTGATTGGTTGGATTTTAAGAATGTGCTGCTCCT